GAAGGAGAAGGAGAAGGAGAAGGAGAAGGAGAAGGAGAAGGAGCTCAGACAACAGCCAAGATCCTCCATCTTGCCTCCTATCTACCTCTATACTAAAACCCCAAAACTCCAAATTTCTCACCCTGTGACAAACTTCACCATTCTCTATTGTCCATTTCACACACTTGTGGACACCAATCCATCCCAAACCTTGGAAGCCTTCTCCAAAAGCAGTGCTTCCCTGCCTCAGGACCACTCGGGGCAGGCAGAGAAACACTCCTAGTGCCCTGGCTTCCAGCAAGCTCCACTTGTGTGTGAGTCTGGAAAACTCGTGCTGATCTACAGGAGCTCTGGGCTGTGGAGAGGGGGCCCTGCAAACGCCAGGGAGCTCCACAGGAACAGGGCTGCCTCAAGGCAAGCAGTCCCCATGTCATGAGAGAGGCCTCCCCTCCCTCCCTGCTGGCTGATCAGCAGTGCTGCCCATCCGTGGGGCTGATTCTCCTTGTCATGGATGGGCCATTGAAGCAGCCTGAAATCCATGTCTGGGCCAGGAGTGTCTTGGTAGCCCGACAATCCCCATTGTTTTGGCTGCCCCAGGCTGCTCCGTGCTGGTCGTGCCTCCGAGGACAGGGCATTTCTGACCATTCCTAACCATTTCCATTTTCTAACTATTCCTGTCAGGCAGAAATCCAGTGTGGCAGCTCCACATTCCCGCCAGGCTCCTCTGCCTGCGTGGGATGCTGGAAATCCCCATGGATGTCACCTCTTGGTGGCATCCTGGAGAGCCTAGAGTGTGGGAATGGCTCTCATTGATGAGGTGCTCTGCTTGGCTCTGCTGCTGCTCTCCTCCCAGTGATGGGCAGCCAGCCCTGAGCGGGGCTTGGGGTTTTATGGGTAAATATGTCCTGAAGGAAAAGGACTGAGAACATGAAATGGCACAGGGCAGCCGTGGGCATTGCCACCACCAGAGCCATGACTTGGTGCCTGGAATATGGTCAGAAAACACCTTTCCTCTTGGGGCTGGACACCTGCGTTCCTTTAAAGGTGGAGCCTGGGGACCCCTGGGGCTGGCAATACCCCACGCCTGCCCCAGTTTAACTCCTGTGTCTGGTCTCACTGCTCCCTCCTTCTTCTCCCTGCTCAGGGGGCCACGAGCTGGAGCAGATGCAGCTGATCCTGGAGACCATCCCCGTGATCCACCAGGAGGACAAGGAGGAGCTGCTGAAGGTGATGCCCATGTTCATCAACAGCACGTGGGAGGTGCGGAAGCCGCTGCGCAAGCTGCTGCCCGAGGTGGACAGTGAAGGTACCGTGGTGGCCCCGCGGCTTCCCTGGCTGCTGTGTGCCACAAAACTGTTGTGGTGTGTGTTAGTCCTGGCTAGGTGATACAGGGACACAACAGACCCCTCTTCTGAGCTCTGCAGAATCCCAGCTACCAGTGGAGGTTCACAGAAACCGGCACAGAAACAAAGGTTGCAGCACAGGCCTGGGGTGGAACTGGGGTAATTTTATTTGATGGTAAAACTCCCCAGGCCCTGAACTGAGGGAAAACAACAGCTTATAAACTGGGGGAATTCTTACAGTCTCTAGGTAATCAGGAGGGCTGGGGGTGGAACACAAGGCAGGGAATACAACGTGCAAGCCAATGGAGGATTTCAAGGGAGGGGAATGGCTTGGGACAGTAGAGGTTAACACCTGGATATGGGAGGGGGTTTGAAACTTGGCAGGGAGTAACTAGGTGACAAACAGAGAAACCACACTTAACTAATCTGAATAACCAAAAAGCAAGTCTGTGCCACACCAAAGACAGGGGGAGAAAAATACAGAGGGATTAGGAAACCAGAAATTAAACAGTAAACATGCCAAATAAAACCACACACTACACCAGCCGTGTCCCTGGAACTGCTTCTGGGGTGCCAGGGTTGCTGTCCTGCAAGGCCCAGGGCCTGAGCTCTGGGGAAGGGGATGCACATCCCTGGGGGTCCCGGCTGTAGCTCAGATGTCCCCAGTGCTGTCCCCTCACAGGTGGCCTGTCCTGTGGGCTGTGATGATGTGGCTTGCTGACAGGTGGCTCCTAAGGGTGAAACACACTTCCAGGGCCCTTTGGAGTGCATCCCATGTGTCTCCCTGAGCTGTGAGCGAGGGCTTGGCCCAGAGGCTCTTTCCCAGTCTGCAGCTGTGCAGCACAGCGAGGGACAGGCTCTTCCTCACAAACACCCCACTCCTGAGATAGGTGTTACAGACAGGAATATGAATCAGTGCTCCCCTGAGCTCCTTCAGAGGGCTAAACCAGGCCTGCTTTTGGGGAGAGCTCAGGAGCAGGCCCAGCTCAC